CACACACACACACACACACACACACACACACACACACACACACACACACACGGTCTCAGTTGAACCAGGTTGTGTTGAGCTGCGTCTGTTTTTTGATGCTTGTGTCCAACTTCAGCACCTCTCGGATCGCCATAGTGGCATAGGTTGAAGGAGGCAGAGAGAACTCCATCCGCAGAGCCCGGTGCTTCCCCTCTGGTGGGTAAAGGAAAGTAATACTGTATTAGGCGATGTAGAGAGAGTACAATATCAGACACCTAGAGGTACAAACGTGAATTTCAGGAATCATTTTGGAAAAAACAATTAACAATACACAATGCTTGCTTTTTGTTTGTGATTGGACAAATCCTAATTCCCGGTCAACTGTTCAATATTAATACCAGTTCTTATGTAAAGCAAGTCTCAGTTGGCAAAAGTAGCAATGCTATTGTATAAACCCTGCTTCGTTTGTGAGGAGGAGAGGACAGGTAAGGTCCTGTTTCCTCCTTATATGAAATGTGTACTGAATTTCGTACATTCGTATGATGTAATTCAATATGCTCTCAAGATCAAATTACATTAAAATGTCCCACAAACCCCTAAAAGCCAGCTTAAAAGAAAACTGGACTCATGAGAGCAGACATCAAAAAGACCGTGTTATCAGAGCTGTGTGGACCTGGACAGATGTTTGGGTACAGAGCTATGTGGTTGACTTATTTAATAGTAGAAAGTAATGTGAATACTTCATAAATTTAACAGTCATGGAACATTGTCGTGAAGATGTATAAATTTATTTGACGCACATATTGTTCACTCTAGTTCTGTGCAACCACAGTCTTTTCTTTACTCTGAAATCTTGTCTCTTTCGTGTGTGAAAGTGTTTCTTTACTATTGTTGTGGTTTCCGTACAGCTGTTGTGTATCCTGTAATAACCATCAAATGTTCCACATTTTCACTTAAAAAAGTACTTAAAGGACTATAAGAATAGTTGCCAATTCAATTTCTGTTGATCATCTCATCAATTAATCTACACGTTATTTGAGATCTAGAAAACTGAGACGTTGTAAAAGCTGAAATCCCAGGTTATCTTTTAGGTGTAGGCACATTTTTACCTGTCCTTAAAATATTCTTTATTGTTTATTATTTTTGTAAAATTTATTCATTTTGTTTTAAAACTAATTTCACATTCATTTACTGTAACCTGATGGGTTTTCTTGGAGCAAGAACAAATTCTGTTTTCAGATTTACACGTGTAATAATAATGGAAGCCACTTATAGTGATCACAGATATAACAAACAACCGTTTATATGGCTCAAAAAGCTTTCCTACACAAATGCTGTTTTAACAATTTGGTTGTAGGGATCAGGTAATCCGCTAACAATCGAGTTGAGCCAAACAGAGTGCACCCCTCCTCCAGCTTTCCATACATTGTCTGTGTATGAGAGATGGGCTGACTTAATGAATAAATGTATGCAGCTTGAAGAAAAGATTTGATTTGTGATATTCTGTGTTGATATTGTGGCGTCATTTCAAACAAATCGATGTTTAAACTGTAGCAAGTCAGAGACGTCAGCTAAGTCTGTGTGTTGGTGTGGGAGAGCGAGACAGAAACAGCGGACGTGGAGTCACTCTTTCCTCTTTACAATTGTAATAAATGCCTCAAGAAATGCTTTTAACTACATTGTATTGGTCCACAGGTTGACTCAGTAGCACTAAGGTACATTAAGATAAGATACCTTTTTTGAAGACCGGGGCAGGTTTGTTCTCCATTTTCTCAAAATCAGTATGCACCAGGGAGATTCTGGGGTCGTCGTACTGAATCACCTCCCTGCAACAAACACACAGAAACATCACAACACACTTGTTTATAGTGCTATGCAGAGGCTAGTGACAGCCTTGATATTTTAACAGTGTAAGACAGTAGAAAGGTCTGGCACAACAGTCATAGTGGGTGTTTAATGAAAAACTGCTTTTACTCTATTACTTTATATATCATGCACTGAAAGGCCTTACCAGCTGACTTCACTGGGTCTGATAATGATGCGTCTGTAAGCTCCAGCCAAAGAATAGTCCTTCACTTTGTGTCTCATGTTGTCAATGTCGAGCCCGTCAGCAGAGAGCAGCTCTTTGTAACCTTTACCAACTGAAACAAACACAAAACAAAGGGAAGAAAATTAAAACGCTATACTTTTAAGTCACAAGCAAAAAAACCTAAACAATTGCAGAAAGCTAATTCCTACCATGGTGGGTGGGATAAATGACGTCAAACCCAGGTAGAGGCATCACAATATCATGGATGGTGTGGGTCTCAGCCTCCTCTGCAGACAGCACATGTGCTGTGGCTTCATGAACATATCAGAGACAAAATCAGTACACAGCATTTTCTTCATCGCATCACAAGACTGAAAATGTTGTTACAGGGACACTGATGAGACATGTTTGTCTCAGTCATTTAAATGATTCAGATTAATGTTTGGAAAAGGAATATTCCCTTATAAACCTACAGTGTGTAGAATTTAGTGATATCTAGCGGTGAAGTTATATGTTGCAGCTGAACACCCCTCACCTCACCGACCCCTCAATGTCAATATTTAGGAATTTAAATATAAAGGGTAAAGAAAACTACAATTCTTACAATTTAGATGAAACGAACTACTGAAAACACCATGAGGATTATTCTACATCAAATTTCTGCCAATAGTAATCAGATTTTTTGAAAAAAATCACACTTCTCATTCATTAAAAGTTAGGGTCAGTAGGTTGTTTCTGAGACACTTTCTTAGACTTCATGTCTGAAAGCAATCAAGACTAATAATTTCATTCAGACCAAATGAAATGGTTAGCTAGCGAACCTGTCACTAACCAACCTGCCTGTCCGGGATCCATTTGTAGAACGTATTGAAGGTAACAGCCTTAGCTTTTCCAGTATTATTAACCCTAGCTTGAAAGAAACTGGCTAAAGTGATAGTTTCACCTAATCAGAACTGGATATTTGCAGTTTTGATGAAAGTTAAATGAGAAGATTATTACAATGCTCATGACTGTATTTAAAATGTGACGTGAATTGTTGTGAACGTGTTGCAAAACCATTAGAAATAAGGAATTACTAACTTCCTCTGAGCATCAGGTCCCCCTCTACAGCCTTCAGGCCGAAGGCTTCAATTCTGCGGCTCACCATAGTGTTCCACACTACGCTCTGGTAACTGTGGATGTACATCAGACGGTTGTTACGGGGAATCTAGAAAAAAAAGCAAACAGCAGCCATCAGACAGAGGTGAGTATTCAACTAAATAGATGTTCTTCAAGTAGATTTGTATAGCGCCAAATCACAACATATATTATCTCAAGGCACTTTACATACTGAGGTTTAGACCTCACAAAATTATAAAGAAACACAACATTTCAGACAATGAGCCCTCCCTCATTACCTGGAAGAAACCTCTAGCAGAACCAGACTCAATGTGGGCTGGTTCAGATGAGTTTTATTTACTGTGCAATGGAGACAGCATCGCAGCAAGACAACACAATTCTGTCTACTGCTCAAACAGTTAGGAGATCATTTTATACCATCACATGAAGGTAAAACTAAAACAATAGGTTGTGGATTGAGTCAAACAAAGGGTCTGTCAGTTCTGGACAGGTTAATTTATAATACTGTGTTCCTATCAGGCGGTAACACATTTGGTCAGTCTCGTCACCCCCTCTGCCAACCACATGTAGTAGAGAGGAGAGGTGGGTGGAAAAGTGACCAGGAACAGTTGTTTACCTGTCACATCTAAGCTCTGTCAGACTGGTTATGCTGCATGATGGGAGTTTCCCCCAGCAGTCTTGGCCTATAGCAGCATAATTTAGGGATGGTTCAGAGCTTACCTAAGACAGCCCTAACCTTTAAGCTTTATCAAAAAGTCTAAACTTAAATGTAGAGATGGGGTCGCCTCCAAAACACAGAACTCATTCATTTGGTTAGTTAACATGTGCTTACACATGGTATCTGCTCAAAGAGACAGCATTACAGCATTTAGAACAGAAAACCAACCAGTCCGAAGGCTGTGACGATGTTCTTCTTTCCATACATAGACAGGCCACGTAGCAGCTGGCCCTCCACGCAGCGTTTGTTGGGCAGTTTTTTCAGAGCAGCCTCTGGGTCCTGAGACTTAGCCCACTCTTCCCTACAGCGGACCAGGAACTCTTTCTCAGCTGAAGAAAGCAAAGATGGGGGGAAATTTTAAATGCCTCACAGATGGAAGAAAATTGTGAATTTTTTCTTCTTTTTTGTTTTTTTTTTACCTCCAGGACGGGGCTTCAATATCAAATCAACCACCTCATTCCAGTCATTTTTTAAAATGGCCCTGTCCCAAAACAAAGAGGAGAAAACAACAGTTGAATGTACCATCTTGTTATAATTTATGCCAGTATCTCTACGTCACGACCTTACCTGCCAACGGTTTGTGTAGGAACAGCCGTGGTGCCGAAGCGCTGCATGCCGTAATAGTTGATGAAACCTGTCTGCTTGAGGGATGACATGGCCTGACGGACCTGCTCATCTGTTCCTGAGATGTTCCTGATATACAAAAATAACAACAATTTACAAAACAGTAAAGCTAAAACTTTTCATAAATACTCTGATTTTACAGCTCTAAGGAACATCTGTGGGATATAGTCCAGTTTAAAGTAAACCAGCATTCACAACAAATCAAAGGAACGGGGTTAACAAAAGTCATGTGAAACATTGGTTAACATCTCATGACCTGATCACCACAGTGAAGTGATTTCCCTGCAGCTCCCCTAGCTTTAGAGGATGGTTTTTGTAGCAGAAGTTTCCCAGCTTGAGGTTCATGAGGCACTTGTTGAGATGAGCCAATCTCTCCGCTGTGATCCTGACGAGACACAGGGGAAGGATTTTCTTCATTACTGATCTGGAGCAACAAGCTCATCCAGTTATCATCTGCATAAAGAAACACCTCCACCACTTATCGAAATGAAACACGAAACAGTGATTTCTTTACAAACCCACACACTCACTTGAGCACAGCAATCTCCTGCACAGTGATGGCTCTCTTGTCCTTGGTTCCCATGTAGGAGAACATGTTGGGTCTGAGTCTAGAATGACGTGCATCATTATACACATGACAGTTCTTCACTGCAGACAGGTTATTGAACAACAAGACTGAAGAAGAGCATTCATACCTGAGGAACTTTGAAAGCACATTGATGGCATCCATAGTGTCTTTATTCTCCTTGTATAAGACAAAGTGGCAAAAGCAGCCACGGTTTTTGGGCCAAAAGTGTTTCCTTGGAGCTTTTATGGACACAGAGAAAAAGCTGTACTGAAATACAGAGTGAGAATTGGTATAATTCGGACAAAAATCTGATTTTCTAAATGGCTTTCTCCTTAAATATGTTTCTGAGCATGTTTACCTCAATAAAAACCAACCGTGTGCCAAAAACCTCAGCCTTTAATTAAAACCACTTTTCTCACCTCTGTTCAATCACTATATTTCAATAAAAGATGGAAACAGGTGAAGGTTTTAACAGCTTTTTACAATACGAACAGTATATTAACCATGACTAGTTCCAACACCTAACTCCATGTGTGGAGAATAGGCTCTTACCTGTAGTTGTTTTGACCTCTATCCACCAGAGAAGAGCAAAAGGAGGATAGAATAATGTTACTAAGAAAGAGATGATTACAGACCATGGGGCGAGTAGTCAGAGGTGAGATCTCATGCACAGGCCTGCGAGTGGAGTGGGGTATTTCAAATAGTATATGCAACAATGGTGGGTATTTTTTTCAAAGCACCATGATATTGCAGGTTTCCTTGTGATCTATACATTTTCTGTCTGAGTAAACCATGTCATTGTCATGTTAGAGTTAGAGCATTCCATCGAAAAACAAGGTCCATCTATAACCAAAAAACAACGGTTGAAAAACCACTGTGAGTTAAGATCTGGTGCAGAATCATGCAGGCGTGTTGATCGTGCTCATGCTCAAGTGCATGCGTTACATTGACTGGTCTTGAATTCAACTGTGACCACATGCATTGCAGCAGATAACAAAGACATGCAATAAATTCTTTCTCTTATGATTATTATATATCTATCCAGGCATTTCCTTGCGAGCACTTGGTTCTGTCTCCTCTCCACGTACCTGCTAGTGCTTTCTTCCCAGCAGCATGATATGCCACAATGAACTTGCGTCCTTCCTTCTCCTCTGTCTTTGTTTCCAGACCAGCAAACAGAGTCTTGATGGCTTTGTGGACCAGTGTCCTCTTCTCTTTCGTGTCATCCATCACCTTCAAAAGGTGAGGCGCAGGGTAAGGATGTTACGTAAAACTCTCGATGGAGTTTTAAGTGATGTCATACTGGGGTTCAGTGAACTCACCTCAATGAAGACATTGCCCTCTTTATTCTTGAAGAGCTGCAGCTCTCCAAGCTGTTTTTTCTGCTCTTCAGTCAGTACGTCAGATTCCGCTGGCTGCTGCTCAGCTTCTGGAACTTCCTAACATGGAAGAAACAACACAAAACTTTAGAAAGCATTATCTTTGCAAACAGTATAAATATCACATTTACCACCATTTTATCACAAGTCATCAAATGTGAATGTATGATAAATAAGAGACGAGTTGAAAAGACATTTCTGACGGGGTTCAACATCGAATAATTCAACAATTTAAATGATTAGCCATGTTATTGAAGTCTAAATAATAAAGAACAGTGACACTGGTGAATTGAATACCTTACCTCAGCCTCTGCAGGGATAGAGAGGTCATCTAAATGCACTATCTTGCCATGTTTGCTGATTTCATGCACCACAAAATCTGAATATCTGAGAACAAACCACAAGAAAATCTATATTAAACAAAACAAGCCATCATTTCCAGTCAAATTCTGCAAAAAACAATGCTGACTGTTGAGTACAAACCTTTCCTTTAGGATGCCTGAGAAGCCCTCGTGGTCACTGACATACTTCAGGATGCCCACATCCAACTCCGTGAGACCATGCTTCATCATATCAGCAAAGGTCTCGCCATTCTCCTCTTCACCATCATTCCCTTCATCCTCAGGCTCCTCCTTTTCATCTTGGTGGGGACCATCTCCATTATCGTGATCACTCTCTACTTTGGGTTTCTTCGATGGCGTGTCTTCTTTATTCTCTGGACAGCCTCTCTTCTCTCCAACCTGGACGCACACAGGTTTGGATTCAGCCATCAGAGCCAAGCTGGGATAAGAGAGAGAAAAAAGGTTTTAATTCAAACAAAGTACAGTAAAAGGGCGAGTCCAACAATTTCACACAATGTTTTGTATAAGGTCTACTGAAAACAGCTTCCTGAACTCTTAACAATATAACACTGGTGATGTATGTTTTGTCTTTATTTGGTAGGAAACAGTAGAGCTGACCGGGAAACGAGGAGAGCGCAGATGCAGCAAAAGTCCTTCACTGCACTTAAATCAGGGATGGCGATATTGTGATTACATGGTCAGCATCTTAAACTCCTCAGTCTCCAGGAAAGCCAGCATATTACTCTGATTTTAACTTTTCTTCCTTGGCTTCCAGTAAATTTTAGAATTGATAGCAAGATTTTAATATTTTGTAACCACAGAGGAGCTACTTACCCAGACAGACAGACATGTGTTCTTACCAACATGCAGGTACTGATGTCTGGGAACCACCAGCTAATATTGCACTGCAGTGTTGACATGAGTTAAGACACTAGTGGCCTAGAACACGTTAGCATCGACTTACTTGTTGTAGAGTTGGGGGATGAAAAAACAACCGAGGCTCGGGGAAACACGTCTCGCCTTCCAGCGGCTGAACACCGGCAGACACTTCTTCGGGAAGCCGAGCTTGACGCAGACACTGAAACGAGATGAACACATCGCTGAGCACTCAGATGTTAGCCGAGCAGCTAGCACAGCCGCATTGCCATAACTTAGCTAAGAAACACCGCCGGCTGGGGCTAACGTCTCTAGCGGCAAATCTATGATTGAAAGCTCGTCGCACACAAACCGACACACGTCGCGGTGTAAGAGTAAAGCCGTGGATTGAGATGTACCTGTGTGAGCAGACAGTCAGCAGAGAGCGGAGCAGCATCCACACACAGCCTCTCTGTCATGTGCGCGTGTCTGTGTGCCGGAAACACAAGCTACCACAAACCCCGCCCACTGCATATGGTAGGTTAATCACCGCAGTGGCTTGGATCAGAACTGATGACGCTCAACTCCAGACCACACCCCGTCACCATCTTGATGAGTGCCCTCTTTATATACAGTCTATGGACATCACAGACACTGTCACATGGGACATCACAGACACTGTCA